AAAATTAATAACAAAAATAACAAAGTGAAGACCCAAGGAAGCACATCTTTCCATGTTAATTTGAGCGACAAGACATGCACATGCGAAGAGTTGACACTCCTTAAAATACCTTGCTCACATGCTATGGGAGCATGCGTGAAGGCTGACATGAAGGTGGAGAGGCTTGTCGGTAATGAATATGGAACTTTCTACTGGAAACTAGCCTACCTTGAGAGCATTAACCCGTACCCAATTCGAACACGGTGTACCCAATACCGGATGCAATTGCTTCAATGTCCATTATGCCACCAGGTAGGCCAAATCGTTCTAGATACCTTTCAACAGGGGAGTTTAAGGTATAATATAACTAATGAAAATGGGAAACGCAAGGAATTACAAATCACGAAATAGTTAGTTATGTAGATAAATATCAGTAAAAGAAAAAAATATCTGTTTTTTGGATATACAGAGACCGGAGAAAGTGAAGAGGCGGACGTGTACACGTTACCGTGGTCCAAGGCATAACAGGGCCTCCAGTAAAATGCCCATCTAAAACAACAAAAATGGCATTTGGTAAGTCAAAAATATAAAATTTAAATTAATCAAGTTTGGGTTGAGAGTTGAAAATGAGTAAAATTAGTACTACTTTGAACAGGTAGTAGTTGCATATTTTGAGTGTGTAAAGCCGCAATCGAGTATTAAGTACAAGTGAAGATGAAGTTCTCCAGCGAAGTAAGGGCTTAAAGAAGTGGCAAGTTTTTATTTGGTGTGTGGCCTAAGTCACTAAACAGTACTACAATTTAGGTTGTAAAATATGTTGTGCCCAATCTCCTTTAAGTTTTTAAACTTTTGAACTAAGTCCCTAATGCGGGAGATGTGTAATATGCCTTCGGGCGAAACCTTTCTACGAATGTAAAATATTTCAGTTACTACTTAGAATTTCAAACAACCGGTTATACAACAATATAGATTGTTGTACCACAAACTAACCGGTTATATAACAATATAGCCTAATAACTAATAAAGTAACCTGCAATTTCTCTACAAACCCTTTAGTAGAAAACGAGATCTTTGAGTCACTTTACTGAATCATTCTTAGCAAACATTGTCTAAACAAAGACAAATCATTATTAGTCTCACTAATTACTATTCTGATATTCAAGACAAAAATATTTAGGTTCAAAAAGATAACTTCTATTATGAGATTCTAGATACACATTAGAAGACACTTCAATTGTCTTTTGAACAAATAAGTTCAGTCAATAAGTTATCACTTAAAAAGGTACATTATAAAGAAAAATAATCGGTTAAAAACAAATTGGACTGCTATCTAACAATTTAACCTGCAATTCTAATACTTACCGGATAACAAAACCAAATACAAGAAGTGATGTGTTGATTCAATTGGATAATACAATGACCGAATCAACAGGGGAAACTACTTTAACTAACACAATAAACACAACAAAATCTCATTCATAACTGAATCATTCAAAGCAAATATGGTCAAAACAAAAGAAATCATTATTACTCTTACAGAAGCAAAAAGAGTCGAAAGTCAAAATAAATGTAGAAGATATTGAAACAGAACCAAAAACAGTATGAGAATGAAATGAGAAACAACTAATTGTCGCTAAGATCAATATCACCACAGCAATGCTCATACATGTCAACCACAAGTTGCTCAGCCCGCTCTTGGAGGGATGCATTTTTGACTTTGTATACCTTGTCAATTCCACCTAAAACATGAGCCTCAATAAATAGAAGAGACAATATACCAGTATCAGCTCGAGAAGGCGTTTGCACAACAGACGTATCTCTTTTGAACGAAATCACTTTAGTAAAAAAGTTCTTCATGCCATTATTGAGACCACTCTTGCGTACAAGAAACGGGAACATCTCGCAAATAAAGTCAAGCTCTGGCTTCAACCGGGAGCTATGCATCTCAGAAGCAGATGGATCAAAGACAGTCATGAGGTGGGAGGAAAGATCAATGCAAACACCAATCCAGCGGGTGCGATCAATGTTAAAAGGAAAATAGATAGAGTCAATGTCCTTAACCCATTGCTTCCGAGTCTCCTTCATCCTTATGCGTACAGCATGAACAAATTCCAGATCAAACTCAAAAGAATCTTTACGAGAAATCTTCTTGAATCTAGAAAACTGCTTCGCAAGACCCACAACAAAGCCACAAGGTAAAATGTTTGCTCCAACATTAGAAGCAAAGTCTGGACCACTCAGAATTACATCCCTCATAACCATCACGCATGAGTTCATCACTTACAATATGATAGAGAAGATAAGAATATAGTTAATCTAAAAAACAAAAGAATGTAAAAAAAAATGGGTTGCTAACAAACAAAATAGAGGATTACTTAACAATATAGACCACTACATATAGAAATAACACGTGAAAATTTAATTTTAAATAAAAGTAAACAAAACAAAAAAATCTTACATCTGGACGGCATGGATCAATAGAAATAGGAATGGATAGGAGGTCAGCATCCTTCAACTAACGACCAGCACCAAAGTCAAGTTCCCTAATTTAGAAATTTATATACATCAATATCTGTACTGCTTTAAATAAGTAAAATATCCATACAATAATGTAGATAGATAGATAAAATAAACAATAACATGTTAAAAACTATGATAGATGTCTAAACAATAATAGCGTAATAGAGTACATAACAGATCTATTCAACTACATAGATAGATAAAATTAAAAATAACAGGATAACGAAAATAATGTACATCTAAAACATAATTAATCACCTGGTTGGTTGAGTTATCTGGCAGATGGCAATGAATTTGGGGTTAGTTGCCAATGAGAGAAGCACATCAATAACGTTCACCTCAGCATCACCAGTAGACTATTGAAAACAAAATATCAAAGAAAAGTGAGTGGAAATGTAATGAAATAAAAAATGAAACTTATTGGAGATAAAAAGATGATATACATTCTGAACCGGAGCTGTCGCAGACACAACAGGGACTGATTGATTAGACTCTCCTAAAGAAATATTTTCACCTGCAGAGTTAACAGTACCTAAATCATCATCCTGCAAAAAAAAAATTAAAATAAGCAACCACACACAACACACATTTTAAAGTATAAACTGAAGTTAAGAATTAAATTACCAAACTAATATCACAATTTACCTCCATAGGTTTCTTCGAAGATTTCTTATCACCAACTGTTGAACCTTCGGGAACATTTTCTCCAGGTTCATCAAAAAGATCATCACAAAGGCAGAGATTTTTCAATACATCTTTAATGACTTCATCAGAATCCTTGGATTTCAAACATTGCCTGACAAACAAAGGGACAACCTTCTCCAATTTGTTATCAAGGCGGGTCTCAACATGCTGAAATCCAGTACGAACACTATTAGCAATCAAGGTTTTACACTCAGACATTATAGTCTTAATCTGATCAGATACAGCCTGTAGTATCTTGGATTTGGAATAAGAGGAAATAGGTCGATCACGTGAACGGTGTAGCCGTGCCTTCTTGGTTCTAGAAGATCCAACCAATTCAGTTTCATCCAAACTTGGTTTAGACTTCCCTTTCCGCTTGCCTTTACTAGGAATCTTACTTTTTGGAGCAGCAGGGGCTCCATATCCAATTTGACCACCTTCAAACATGTCACGGCAGAAAAAAAACCATCGTTAATTAACTTCTCCATGTGTGCAACAGAACTATCATCACCTTCATCAGGCAGCTATAATCATCTATCTCGCCATCTTCGCCTCCGGGAGTTGGGAGTATGGAAATTACATCAACCTAACAAGTAACAAATAAAAATCACAAGTTATAAAATGAAGAAATCAATACAAACTTATAAAAATAAATAATAGAACAAAAGGGACAAAAAAAGAAAATACATGTATAAGTTAAATAGATCTCCAAACACTAACGTAGACACCTAACAAGAAACACAAAAATCATGTACACTAGAAAGGTCTCATGACACAAAGAATGAACCAAAGGTAAAAATGGGTTGATAACAAACAAAATAGAGGATTAATTAACAAATATAGACCACTACATATAAAAATAACCCGTGAAATGCAAATATAAACTACAGAGATAAAATAAATGCTAAAATAATCTTTATATGTTTAAATTCTCAAAAAAAAATTTAATTAAGAACAACAAATTAGAGAGATATCATACCGTGTCTTCCTCATCAAGTTCCCATAGTTTATCAAGCTTTAAGGCAATAACGGGACAACTTTCTTCATCTCCAGATTCGGGATCAGTACCATCACCAACAGCAAGAGATGCAGCAGGGACAGCTTGCAGCACTACAAGTTGCAACGCATGCATAAAACCTTGGACATCAACAGTGGACTGGGCTAACTGTGTGAAAGAACGGGATTTAATACACTGCATCGTCATATCAAATGAGTGGCGACCCCATGGATAGTTAAGAAAGTAATCAAGGTTGCGAATCATCTCAGCATGCTTCTTCATGTGCAAAGATCGACGGCAAAAAAGACCATCAACAAGAAGCAAACACGCATACTTTACGCGCAGTTCAGAAGAAAGATTCTTGGGCCTCTTAAGCAGAGAAGCAAGCTTTTCCCTAGTCATATTCTCTTCACCACCAAAAAGCGTAAACCAATAAGGCATCACACCAGGTTTACTTGTTAGAGTATCCCGATCAATTTGAGGAATGGGGCTACACCGAAGACCAGTCACAATTCCATATTCTCTAAGGCTAAACTTTATAGGTTTACCACA